GTGTAACTCACATGGTTGTGAGTCGGCCTCTACATTAAACTTCAAACTAAGTTCATATTATATGCATGTGAATGATTACTATTGACAATATTTCTCATAATTTATTTAGTGCATATAATTGACCTATTTATCTTATGTAATAATGGGTTGAGAATCCATACGCATGCGCGAGTGGACTTCTAGTTGTTGATGTGTAACATACATCACTAGTTGTCATAAACCTTAAATCAACTGTGAACCAAATTCACATCAATTGCGTTTCTGTGAGAATATTTCTGTATATTGGACTATTAGTCGATCTCTAGTGACTTAAACTGTTATTAACATGTACTAATCAAGCATGACATAACCCAAAATGGTAAAAATTCCATACCAAATCGTTCAGTTTCTCTTAGTGGAAACCAAGCTATCAAACGCTATCCTATATACTGATCATATATATTATATGATTAGACAAATCATTTCAAATGCATGCCAAAGATCTGTTCATATCACCAATCTGATATACTTATCCCCACTATCCTGCATTCTGTTCACACACACACACACACACACACACACACATTTATGTTACATCATAACTAGAAAGTTCTACGAATCAAAAGCCCTAGACAAAATTATTTAATGGAACCTAATGATGAATTAGTTACCCGTGTTATAAATTATATTAAACTTTTACAAGTTACTCTGTGGTCATATGTAGGACCAAGCTAAGTAGATTCAGTGGAGTCCCAAGAAATTTTTTACAGAATAAAGTGGGTTATTCTTTTAATCCCGAATGAGAAAAGTGACCATTGATTTGACCATCACCAAAACGACACTCTGATGTTGGAACACTTTATTTAATCTAATTTGTTTGCTTTTAATTTTATAAAGGAGGACCTCAAACCAAACTAACGAAACTTATCACTTTACGGGGGTGTTTGTTACGCCGGACTATTTCGGACTGGATTAGCTTCAAGGACTAAGCTGGACTGGCTTAGACTAGACTAAACTGGACTAACTTAGTGAAGCGTTTGGTGCAGTATTGGACTAAGAAGCTGGATAATAACAAATTCTAATATTATTTTATTTAATATATAAATTATTAATATTTTATTATGATCTTATCTTTTTCTCCATCTTTTCCTATCATTTCCGTCCCACTCTTTTCCTCTTCTCTCATCATCCCACCCTCTCCCTCTTTTTTTCCTCTCAGACCTCTCAATTCATGTCTCTTTCTCATTCCTGGTCAAACTCCTTATTGATTCCAGTCTCTATTTCTCTGTCATTCCTCCCTCTCTAGCTATGTGTTGTTCGAACGGAACCTCACAGCTCCAATTTTCCCGACGAGTTGCAAGTTTCCTGATGTGTTTTTTGGCCAACCCTCATTAAATTGGATGAAGTTAGCACCGCCAAAAAATTCATCACCATCCCTGGACCGAGATCTTAGCTTTGCATGCTCGAATTTGTCATGGATTTGAAGAAGCCCAAACAGGCCGAGACTTCCAGGCCATTTTCCGGCCACATTCGACCACATTTTGACCTCGATTCAAGTAAAATCGTAATCTTGTCACTCCCAACTTCAATTTGGTATATTTTATATGAAAGTTGGTTGTGAAATGGATCTGAAAGAGAGTCGGGAAGTTAATGATTGATCTAGGTGACCGGCGATGACGAGGAGTCTGTCGGGAGTGGTCGTTGAGCATGACAAGGACGAGAAATAGATGATAGTCTTAGCTAGTCCCATGGTTATTGGGGGGTCTCACTAAGACCTCTTAGTGAAGGGTTTTGTCCATGCTAGTCCCCTTTAGTCTCATTAATGTTAGTCCCAGCATGGAACAAACACAGTATTGGACTAATAGCTAGTCCAGTCCAGTCCAATCCGAGTTAGTGAGGGCAAACAAACGCCCCCTACAAGGATTGGAAAAAATATTAATTTTACCTAACTTTACTTTTATGTTGCAAATAAACTGTTTTCATAATTTTTTTATCACAAAAAATAATATTTCTATTGCGCCAAAGACTCATCCTCTTCTTTTTAATTTTTATGTCTAATGAAAATTCTCCCATTATTTCTGTGTATAATAGAGATATATATATATATATATATATATATAAAATTAACTTTAGGTGCCATATAAACCTAGTTAGTTAAGCCTTTGGGATTAATCACATCGACATTCATATTGGGTTTCGGATTCAGGGCCAGGCATTGGTTTTGTTAAATCCACTTGTATGCGAGGAATCAGATCTTGCTTACTAAAATGCAAGCATTTACAGAAGAGTCCAATTAGAGTAACAATCACATGTCGTTTTAAGAATCATAATCTTTCTGCAACTGCAATGTCATGCAAGAACATTTTCAACTTGAGGTTGAAATCTGAAGTGGTAGGTACTTACAGTACTGCTACTACTCATGCATAAAACCACCGATCATGTTTTGTCTTGTTTTTCATTTTGACACGACCTATTCTAATCTATAAGAGCATCAAACTCGGGTATAAATGGAGCGTTCACATTACTTTGTTCAACTGGCTAACTAGTCTTTGCAACTCTTATCATGCTATTGTTTATTGTTTTTGTTCATGAATTTTGTAAGCTATATTATTTATGGAGCTAGTGATGCAGTGCATGGGAAACATATATATTTAAGGTTGTAGTGACTTCTCATCTCTCAAAACCTTTGTCATCTTCTCTTTTAATTGAGTTGCCTAGTAACATGTGGCGGATCCAGGATTCTAACATAGGGTGGTCCCAATGTAAGATATCCAAAAACAAATGAGAGATTTTGGATGCGGTCCTTAGCTATGAATATTCTTTGATTGAAACCTTGTTAGTTTTTAATTTTTGATCGAGGTCCTTGAAATCAATGTGATAATTTATTTCTATGTACATTACTATATTTTTTAAATTAAAAATTAGAAATTTTAGTTGTTTATATAAATGAGATTTTAAATAATAAAAAAACCATAATTTGTGGGATTAAAAATATTAAAATATAAAAATACTATTGTGTGTGTGTGTGTGTCTATATATATATATATATATATATAAACATGGGTACATTTATCAAAATTAACCAAAAAAATTATTGTATCAAAACATGGGTACATTCTTCAAAATCACAAAAAAAAAAAAAAAAGATATTAGGCTTAATAACATTAGTAAATTTCTTCAATTAAACTTGACATGGATCCATATAAGTTTAAAAATGGATTAAAAAAATTTTGAATAGATTTTATATAATAAAAAAATTGTACATTTTACATATAACAAATTGGTATATTTAAGAATGAGTAGATTTTAAGATTAAAAAGTTTTACATGAATGGGTACATATAATTAGCATGGGTACATTTAGCAAAGATAAAAAAAAAAAATGTATGTGTACAAATACAATAAACTTTAAAAAATATGGGCACAAAAGAAATTAATATATGGGTACAACTTAAAACTGAGAAGAAAATTGGTACAAATTAAAAAAATATATATAAATTAAAAATGGGTACAAACTAAAACTAAAAATATATGATAAAAAATTTAGTCATAAATAAAAATATAATAATTGTAACATTTTTAACATTAAATGAATATATTTAGAAATAAAAAAAAATTATTATTGAAATAATTAATGATATTATTAATACCCAAAGACCTTGATCAAAAATTGAAAATGAATAGGATTTTAATCAATGAAATATCAAAAGGAATGATGAGAACCTAATTTATCCTAAAATTAAGGGAAAATAACATTAAAAAGTTAAACATTAACTTTTCATCCATAAATCATGGTAAAAACAACACAAGAAGTTACAAAATCTAAACACTTTTTTTTTTTTTTTGAACAAACGATATCTACACCAAGGGAGGAGCGGGTGGGCTTAGTCTCCCAATGGGTTAGTAATAATGTGGTTTGAATTCGCCTTTGGTGAGAATTGAACATAAAACCTCTCACTTACAAATGAAAATGAATATCACTAGACTATAGTACTAAGTAACCTTAATTCCCTTGTTCTCTTACATTGATAGTTTTCTATCTTTTACAAAATAAATAAAAAATAAACAGTCTTTTCTTTGGCAAGAAAAGAAGATAACAGTTCTCTAAACTTAGTTATTTTTTCTTTTAAATTATCTAAAAAATGGGCAACTTCCAGAAGAAAAAAAAAACAAATTAAAGGTCTTCAAAGTTAGTGGGCTTTTATCACTCTTAAATTCGATAGCCCATAAAGATGTTGATTGAGACGTCCAAAACGACAACGTAGAAGGAAAAAAAAAAAAAAAAAAAAGAGTCAATGTCTCTTTCATCTTCCTCGCGAGAAAGCTGTTGCAGCCCTGCAATTCCTTCACCTCCTCCATGGATGGACCAGGTTTTTAATGGACTATAACATTATTTGACATTGCCTTGGCTTAGGCTATATAGTCTTAGGAGTAGATCTCTCCCCCTTGCCGAAACATTTGGAGGGTCCCCGGAGGACCTTCATGGGCGTTTTTCCAGCTTTCGGGTGGTCCTGGGACCACTTTGGTCCCTCTATGGATCCGCCCATGCTAGTAACTATCCTACTATTAAATATTTACCCTACCAATGCTTTGTAATCTCTCTATTTAAAGGGATCCTTATGTACTCAAAAGGAATCCAATTGAGTAAATTAAAAGTATTCTAAGAAAAGAGTTTTCTCATTTTTTAAATCAAGTGTGAGGCTTTGTCGTGTGAGTGAATCCACGATTAGCAACGTGAGTGATTTCATTACCCTTTGGTCAAGTGATTCCAGGTTCTATTCCTATAAAGACGTGAGTGATTTCATTCTTCCTGGTTAAGCAATTCAACAGATTATCATTCTGCGTCTCCTCGAGACTCCTTTAGATTTTCTTCCTTGCATCAAGTGGTAATCAAATCAAATGAATAAATAATCAAACTTTTGTGGAGGGAATATATTGCAAGACCATTTCTTTTAATTTCCTTTTTCTCTTCCTCCACAAATATATAGTTGACTACTTCTAATTCCAAATACATAGCCAATTGACCAAATTGCCAATTTCCCCCGTATATAAACAATGAAAACCTCCCCTTTCATACACGAGGTGTAAGGAGTTGCTTCAACTTTTTGAGAATTTTTTTGTTTGCTCAGAACTTTGATTACTAGTGACATCAATTCTCTCTCTATCTCACTAGTTACATCAAAAAGGTAAATACGCGTGTGCCGTGCCGCATGTCAACTTCTCTCTCTAGCTTCTTTGGCTCGTTGTGTCTCATAAACCAATTTAAAAGGTAATTATTAAAACCAAATCCAAAATTTGGAACAATTTGATTTGTTTTAAAGTTTTAATTTCATAATTTTATGTTTTGCTTATGTTTCTTAACTTTTTGCAGATAAAGTATTTGATCATCACCAACATGATGCCAATGTGCAAACAAATACAAACATTACATGTTCCTTTGTAGTGGCCATAATCATAAAATGGATGTGTTCAATCCCCGCCGGCAGAAGGAGAAGGTGGTGATCGTAATGGGGGCAACGGGGACCGGAAAATCAAGGCTCTCCATCGACCTAGCCACCTGTTTCCCGGCAGAAATCATAAACTCCGACAAAATGCAAGTCTACGAAGGCCTTGATATAGTCACCAACAAAATAACCAAAGAAGAGCAACGTGGTGTACCGCACCATTTGCTAGGGATACTAGATCCTAATGAAGATTTTACAGCCAGGGATTTTTGTGACCTAACCTCACTTGCCATTGAATCTGTTTTAGGCCGTGATCGGCTTCCAATCATCGTCGGAGGCTCCAACTCCTACATCGAGGCGTTAGTCGATGACCATGACTATAAATTTCGGTCCAAGTACGAATGTTGCTTTTTATGGGTAGATGTGTCTGTACCCGTTATGCACTCGTTCGTGTCAGGACGGGTTGACCGCATGGTTCAAAACGGAATGGTGGATGAGGCGAGAGAGTTCTTTGATCCCAATGCAGATTACATGAAAGGGATTCGAAGGGCAATTGGGGTCCCTGAATTCGATAAGTACTTCAGGTATGGGCCACTTTTGGATGAAGAAACTCGTGCCAGGTTACTACAGCAAGCAGTGGACGAAATCAAGGACAATACGTGCAAATTGGCATGCCGACAATTGGAGAAGATTCATAGACTAAGAAATATCAAAGGGTGGAATCTGCACCCGTTGGATGCCACAGAGGTGTTCCGAAAGCACGGCAAGGAGGCCGATGAGGCCTGGGAGAAGCTTGTGTCGGGGCCAGGTGCTATGATCGTTGGCCAGTTTCTTTACAATATGACAGCTGAGGTTCCTTCACATATTGGAAGTCTTAGGGTTCCTGCAGCACTTGCAGCCGCAAGTGCAACTCATTAGAGGCTTAGATATTATAGTTTTCTTATGAAATATAACTTTTGGTTAATCTAATTTCATCATTGCAAAATAAAGAAAATAATATTGTCAGTGTCATGGACATTTCTTAAGTATTAATTTATTGTATCCTATCATTCCATATCATGCATGATATGATTATAGTTTTAATTTTAGCTTTCTTAATGATATTATTAAAGTGAGGGATGAGCAAAACTCTAAATCCTTAATGAAATAAATACCACAGCTTTGATCTTTTAATTTCAACAAAATCATCACGTAGTAAATCAACAAAGTCTAAAGTATTCTCTCTTTTCCCTCAAGTTTAATACCAATTGGCTCTTATTTAGAACTTCTTGTAACCGGAACACAAAGTAAAAAAAAAGTAGGTTCATGGGTTCATTGATTAGTATACTTCAGGTGCTGGAAAGGTCAGAGCATATTTGAAATAAACTTTGGCTATTCTCATCTCTCAACTCCTCTAGACTATATTCTTTCTTTTTCATGGAATTTATCCTTTCGAATGTGTATACAGTTTAACGTCCTTTTTTAGCAAGAAGAATTTGTCTTTAACTACATGTTAGAGGTATTTGATCATGAAAAAGTAGGGTCAATTATGATGATTTTTCAGGTACAACCTAAGTATGTGCTCCGTACACATGTCATACCCTCATATCACTTTAGTTTTTGTCATGCATTGCTTTATAGAATCAGAATCTTGACATGATAAGGATGGATAATAATATGGCTTACGATAATAAAGTTGTTAGGTGAAACGATATAAATAAAATTAAAATTAACGTGTCACCAATAGTATTCCGATGCTCGTCAAACGAAGATAATTAAGTTAATATAATTGGTTTTTGGATATGATTTCTTGATAAGAAATCAAAAGCATAGCTAATTGGATGCGAATAGACGATATTTCTTCTCATAAAAAGCAACCACAGAAAATAGTTGAAACACTTAGGACTTTGCTTTCTTTTCACGCATCACACACACAAAACCCTTCGTCGATTAGTTTGCATGAATGACGATTTTTTCTGGATCTTTTTTGTGAAGATTTTGAAGATTCTTCAATTACGTTCGTTCATCATGCATCGTGTAGTAAAAAATTATTGTAAATTTTTTTATTTAAAATTGAATATAAACTGTATTTGACGAAAACTAACCGCACGATATACAATGAACATACGTGATTTGAGGATCTCCGGAATCCGTACAAAGAGGATCCAGAGAGGTTCCTCATTCAGTTGCAAGTATGCAATGTGGAGCATGATATATAAGGAACAAGGATATTCTCTGAATCAGGGACGAAGCCAGAGCTTTGTGTGAATGGGGGCATCCTTAAACAACAAAGTCATAATTAAAAAGCTCAAGAATTTACTAAACACAATACTTATATATTAATCCAAAAAGTTTTTCATACAACAATCCCTTACAATATCCCTCGACGCGTTTTCATGTTCTGAAAGCGTTGCATGACAACATCATTACCAATACCATCAAATATCTCTCTCTTTATAAAAATAATCATGTTATCATTCATCCATTGATCTTCCATCCGATTTCTCAATTGATTCTTCAAAATTTTCATGGCCGGAAATGCTCTTTCAACAGTTGCAGTAGCAACTGAAAGAGTTAGTGCTAATGTCACAAGCAAGTAAACCAGCGAATACACCTTGTGTTTTTTGCATTGAACCATTTTTTTTGCAAGATCTCAAATTTCTTTTAAACCTAAAAACTCAATGCTAGACCGCATATCCACAATGTAAGTCTCAAGTTGAATCTTAAGTATCACTAGCTCATTCATAGAGAAGTTTTTAGGATAAAATTGGGCAAGATGCAATAGCTTTTGGCTATCAAAAGCAGAGAAGGAGTCAGCTGGACATAAACATGCCAAACAAAGAAGTAACTCAGTGTTGGTCTCATTGAAACAATTATTTAGTTCTTGAAGTTGCCAATCCAAAACAACATAAAATATCCCAACACAATAATGATGCATATTTGTGACTGCTTGTGCTTTTCGTTGCCCTCGCCTTCGAGAAAGAAACATATCATCAATATTAGGCATATCAATATCATGTTCAAGACAAAATTCTGAGACTTCACTAAGTAAAGAATCCCAACCACTTTTCCTCATTATCTCCAACCTTTGCTTACAAACTCCAACCAACGTCATGGCATTTACAATATCATGATCCTTCCTTTGCAATGCTTGTGACAATTCATTGGTTATTCCTAGTATATCTTTCATCAAGTGTAGATTAAACACAAAATCAAATGATAGCATGGAATCCATTAAATTATTCGCTTCACATCTTTGTTGAGAGCTTACTCCATCATCTATTATTACTTCAAGTACATCAAGTTGGATGAAAATATAGTCATAATACTTACTAAAGTACCAAAGTGTGAATCCCAATGTGATTCTCCAACACGTTTCAAAGTAGTTTCTTGATTTTTGCCTTTCCCACTTGTAAACTCACCACTGTTAAGTGCTTCAATAACTGCAATAGATTGCTTCTCTCGAAGAATATCACAACGCTTTGATGAAGCTTGAACAACATTTAACAAAATAGTAACTATACTAAAGAGAGACTCAATTTGGATGTTCTTCTTTGCCACAACTACAAGAGCTAATTGAAGTTGATGTGCAAAGCAATGAATATAATAGGCACAACCACTTTCTTTCATAATAAGAGCTTTAAGACCATTGAACTCACCTTGCATATCGCTGGCCCCATCTTAACCTTGCCCACGCAACCTAGACATGCTCAATTTATGCCTAGAAAATACCTCATAAATGGTTTCCTTGAGTGAAAGAGTAGCAGTACTAGTAACATGCTCAATGTCAATAAAACGCTCAACGACATGCCCATTCTTGTCCACATAACGCAATACAATAACCATTTGTTCCTTCGTTGATACGTCGCGAGATTCATCAATCAAAATTGATAACAACGAAGTGCATAAGAGTCTTGATGGTCTCATTTGCATAAGCATTTACAATGTCTTTTTGAATATTTGGTGATGTCAATTTGTGATTCTCCGGAACATTTTTCAAAGTAACGGCTTTCACATCCTCATTGTGGTCGGCAAGAAACTGTAGAAGCTCAAGAAAGTTTCCATGGTTGCTTGAATGTTCAAATTCATCATTACCACGAAATGCAGGCCCTTGTCTCAAAAGAAATCGACAACAATCAATTGATGCATTCAACCGAGCTCTATATTCGAGCTTCATCATGAGTTTTAGAGAAAAAAGATTGGATATGTTGCTTTTGACTCCTTAAAGCTTCAAAACTACTCCATGCTTGATTGTGTGCACTATTGACGCCTCCAATATGAGTTAGAAGTCTTTCTTTCTTCTTCCAGTTAGAAAATCCTTCACCAACAAAGAAATCACCACCTGCTTGTTCTCCAATATTTGGTTTAAAAAGGTAGCAACACAGACAAAAGGCAACATCTTTTTCCACACTATATTCCAACCAAGTAGGAAAATCATCAAACCAAGCAGGGTTGAATCGTCTTTGCGTGTCTCCATATTTCTTGTAAGGAAAATTATTGGTTTTAGGTTGTTGAGGACCAGCTAGCACATACGCTCTTCGTACTTGATCTCGAATATTAGGATTGTAATCCAAAATTCGAATTCGCTTACTAGAATCTGATGGAAGATTTGATAAGATAAATTATGTACTATCTTGTCCCCGAGTATCATTATTTTTCTCAATAACTGGGGATGGCGGCACTGGTATTTTTTTGAAAAACATCTCCATGATATTTCAGCCTGCAAAGTCAATCATATTGATACCAATAACATATAAGGTTCATACGTAATTTGTAGAATTTATAGAATAAAATTCTCAATAAAATTCTTAGACTCTTGATCCTAGAGTATACTATACTAATATGCCTAATAACTAATCCAAATCCAACCAAGGCAACACTTCAATTAACCAATATGGCAATGCCAATAAGCATACAAATTATTTAACAAATAAACATTTAATTCAACTAATCATATGAATAAATGTATACCCATATTCATAGAATTCGTAATTTCATAATTTCATTCATCAATAATCATAGAATTCATATCAATAATCAATAACCAATAACCATTTACCATATGATTCTATATTTCTATACCAATTAAACAAAAATTCGTCTTAAATAATTAATTAGGATTAAGGATTATAGATTTAGGAATTAAAAATTTTACCTAAATATATATATGTCAGCTAGAGAGTGGTTGACTGGAGTGGCTGGTTGCTGGCATGGTTGGGAACATCACCTTCCTCTTGTTCCATTTCGTTTCAAGATGTTGGGAATTTATGGGAAGAGAGCAGCACCTCGCTGCTCTCTGATTGGCAAGGGAAATAAAAAGGAAACGGAGAGATGGGAATTAGGGAATGGGGGTGGACTGTGGGGACAAGCAGTCCCCCCCCCTATAACATACTTTTTAAAATAAAATAAAATAAAAACTTATACGAAACGACGCCGTTTCATTTACTTTTTTTTCTTTTTTTTTTTTAATTTTTTTTAACCAGAACCAAAACGATCGTTTTGGCCTGGATTTAAAATATATATATATATATATATATATATATATATATATATATATATATATATAAGACCCAGCTTTGCTTCTGCAGAACCAGATCAGTTCAGTGGGGGCTCTGCTGCTGCAAAACCAGATCAGTTTGAGCAGCATGCCAGCATCAGAAAAATCTCAGTGGGGGCATCCACCCCCTAGGCCCATGGTAGCTCAGCCCTTGCTCTGAATCCTTTTTGTGGGAATCCGGATGATCAATTAATCATGTATGTTCATCGTATATCGTGCGGTCAGAAATCATTTTAAATTTAAAATTAAATATAAATAGTACCTAACGAAAACTAACCGCACAATATACGATGAACGAACACGATTGATTGATCATTCGAATCTCCACAAAGAGGATATGGAGAGGAACCTTGTTCACATACAAGGTCTAAATGATAAGACAGATGCAGCGCCCCACCCTTGTCCCAGACTCCAAAATAATAAATGAGAAAGTTGCTAGCAACTTTCTACTTAGATTTTTTCGGTCTATATTTTTTACAAT